CTCCCTGCTGGCTCTCCTGCTCTGCTCTCTGCACAGCAGCTTGGGGGAGCAACTGAGGGAGCCATGTCCCCTGAAGCTCCGGTGTATGCAAATTAACCTGCCATCTTTGTCAGGTTAATTTGCATACTCACTCCTCATTGGCTGGTGGGTGTTGCTCCTGGGCATCGCGGAGTGAAGGTTAATTTGCATGTTTCTCTTTTACTGCCGATTTTGCAACTGACTTTATTATTTAACCACATTATTATCCTTTGAGGTAAAGACTCTTACTTTTTTTTTTGCAGGTGAAAAAAATGAAATCAGAGATTTCTGTTCAGGGCCACTAATCTTGTAAGTGCTGGGAATGGGCTTTGAAACCAGGTGGTCTGACTTTGGATCCTGTGCTTTTTGTCATTACAGCATACTGTTTCTTTTACTGTAGTAATAACTGGTTTAAAGGTGTATATAAAGAATTTAATGTAGCTTTCTACTCCCTAAGAGGGTCACTTTCTAATGGCAAATTCTGGCTTAGAGTTTCACTGAAATTGTATCCCTCAATCCAAAGGGATACACGTGAATTACTTTACCATAGTGTGTGTCTTCACCTTCACACTATTTTGTGCAGTCTTTGTTCAGTTGGGAGATTTGATTTAATAGGTGATGATAGAAAATACTGCTTCCTGAGCCTTGCATCCACTGAAGCCACAGCTTGTGATGGTTAAGAGAATGGGCTCTGGAGTCTGGGGTGGGGAATATTCCTGGCTCTGCCACTTGCCAGCTCTAGGACTTGGACAAATTACCTAACCTTCTGTCCTTGATTCCTTCTCTGTAAAAAGGAAATAATGTAATATATTGGGTGGTTTTGAGGATTGAACTCCATAATATATGCAGAGCATTTTCCAACAGTCTCAAGTTTTATAACTAAACTAGAGGCCTGGTGCACAAACTCGTGCATGGGTGGGGTCCCTTGGGGTGGCCTGCGGGTATTGGGCCCCAGCTCGTGCCCCCAGCCTCACAGTACCCCTCCCTCCCTAGCACCCTGCCTTGGTCTGGAGCCATCCCCTCACCTGCTCCATCATTCTGCCTGCAGGGCGATCAATTGGGGCTGGGCCCCCCAGCCACTGTCGCTGGTTGCCGTCTGTGGAGCAATTGGCAGGGTGATCAGGCTCCTTCTTGCACCCGCCTTGGCCTTGTGCTGCCCACCATGTTCCACCTGTTCCACCATCCCACCGCGGTCCCACTCTTGCTGGGGCCCATGGGGACTGGCAGTGCCTCCACTGCCGCCCACTGCCAGCGTCACGTCACCGACGCCCACCATGTTCTGTGCTGCCCCCTCGTGGTCAGCACACATCATAGCAAGCAGTCAAACCCCTGGTTGAGGGGACAATTTGCATATTAGGCTTTTATTATATAGGAGGATTTATAAGATAGGACTAATGTTTAAAGACTTAGTTTTAATAATTTTATTTTTTAACCCAACAATTTGGTAGCTCTAACTTTGTGAGATTTTAGCAGACTTTAGCTATTTGTGAAAAAATCCTGTTTAGTACTTAGAAGCCCAGATGGTATAATGTTACCACATTCCTATATAATGAAAAAACTGTTATTTTCTGACACTTGAAGTTTGTTTTAGAATTCTGATTTAGGTAGCAATTGCACCTTCTCAAGTTTGAATTCCAAGTAAACTTAAAAAGAACACTTAAAATAATGTACAATGTGAAGGAAATCTTGCAATCATGGTATTACTTTTCTGCTGAGCTCTCTTTCAGTGCATTGATGTGTTAGAAGAGATTTGGGGGATAAAGAGTAATCCTATCTAATAGTAGACAAACATGGTAATTGACTGTACCTTCACTATGCCTCCCATTGGCTAACAGCGCGATATGCAAATTTACCCAATCAAGATGGTGGCCGGCAGCCACGCAGCTGAAGCAAGCAGGAGGCTTGCTTGCTCCAGTGATGGAGGAAACCAAGGTTCCCCGCCTGCTGCAGCCCAGCTCTGAGCTCCGGAAGCAACAAAGTTTCAATTATAGATGCTAAACAAACCCCAGATACCTGCTTTCAGCAGGCCATGGCCTCAGAGCTGGAGCAAGTAGGAGCTGAACAAAGTTTCAATTATAGAAGGTAAATAAATCCCAGAATAAAAAAAAAAGAGAAAAAGGAGAGGCTGTGGGAGCTTCAGTTGCCCACCAGCCTGAAAACAGCCCTCAGCCCCTCACCCAGACTGGCCAGGCACCCCACTGGGG